TCCCACTGCTTCGTCACAGCACAGTGCTGAACAGAGCGTCCACCTCCGTCTGGCCTCAATACGGATTTGTTGGGTTACGAGAGAAAGCTCGCCCGCAGGAGCTCAGAGCAACAAGGGCAGGAGGGAGAGCCCAAGTAACAGCCCGCCAGGCTGCTCCCAGGCCCCTCCCAGGGGCCACCAGCCCACCAAAGGCCCACCTGCACACGGCAGAGAGCACAGGGGCACACCGGCAGGGGGGGACCCAAAACAAGGCACCACCACCTGAGACCGACCTTCTTTTGACAGGGGGGGGGGGGGTGTGCGTGTGTATATATTCTCATATACACTTCCATACTGTCCAGCCAGAGGGGGAGTAGGATAAGGCCATTGGTGCTGTCCCTGTTGGTGTGAGTGCTGAGTCTGTCTGTGATGTGGGTGGCTGGCCACGTATATATATATATGTATGGAGTGTATATGCGTGCTTCTACGTGTGTGCGGGCTGGGAATACGTGTTCAGCCTCGCTTCTGGCTGGACCTGGAGACACGGAGCAGCAGCCTCACGAGGGAAGGAGGAGGGGCAGGCGCTGATCTCTTCTCCCTGAAGACCAATGACAGGACCCCAGGGAACGGCAGGAAGATATGCCAGGGGAGGGTTAGGTTGGACATCAGGAAAAGGTTCTTCACCCAGAGGGTGGTGGAGGATGGAACAGGCTCCCCTGAGGTGGTCAGCACCAAGCCTGACAACATTCAAGAAGCATTTGGACAACGCCCCCAGACATATGGTGTGAATTTTGGGGTTGTCCTATGCAGGGACAGGAGTTGGACCCAATGATCCTTGTGGGTCCCTTCCAACTCAGGACATTCTATGATAAGACGTTTTGAACCATAATTGACTTTAAGACACTATGGACATATTCCAAAGAAGTGACATATTGTACACACAAGGACAGCTAAATGTATTTTTCCAATTGTTCTGTATTGGGGGCAGGGGGCACGACAAAATCGCAGCAGCAACAACCTTTAGTACCCCATCAGCCTGAAACCAGAAAGATAAAGGTCATTGGGCTTTTGGGCTTTTATTGTACAGTACAGGTCATTGGGCTTTTGGTCTTCCCTTCGCCCCCCCACCTTTATTAGGAGAATTTAGTGCTGTTCATGATACATAAACAAAGAAACTGACACTTCTTGATGTTCATTGCAATTTTGTCAGAGGTTCAATCTTTGGTTAACTCAATGCCCTTTAACAGCCCAGTTCCTTTTTTTTTTTTTTTCTTTGTAGAAATCAAGACAGTCATATGTTGCAAGTTATATTTTTGCAATACTGCATTGGTTATCGCTAGTCTGTAGAGGATTTAGCTTCTAGACGAACGTGATCACTTACAAATCTGCCAAAACTGCATCTCTTACAATTCAGTTCAACTTCTTTCTTGGCTCTACCTTACAAGGAAAACATCAAACCAAGACGACCTACCAAAAAAAGATGCATCTGGCACTTCCTGAAGCGAACACGAAGCACTGTAGTCATCTCGCTGCGATTTAATT